CTGTTTCTGCTTTTTTAAGGGTTCAAGTTAGCAAAGTTTTACTTCAATGTTTGTCAGCTCACAAATGACTGAAAAAGCTGATATGCAAGGGGCTAGCACGCTGTTGTCTAAAGGCAGCGTGGAGGCAGCTGAGAATGTTCTCAGACCAGAGGCTCTGCTGCAGAATTCCCCATGCTGGGGCGAGGGCAGCTGGAGGGGGGCCTGGGACAGAGGAATAAACATCTCTTAGCTCTGTCATCAGGGCTGGCGGCCCAGGACCCCGAGGCGGTTGACCAGAGGTTGATGGCTTGGACTTCCTAAGGCTGCCCTAATGTCTGGCTGTGCTGGGGAAACAGGCTTCAGGAGGCCCGTGTGCCAGCTAGAAGGGCCCTCGGCCAGCCGGCCCCTCCTACTCCAGCCCCAGGGAGAGCCCTGCTCCCTGCTGGCCGGGCCTGCTGGGCCCTGGGGTGGGGGCAGTCTCTCACCCACAGCAGCTCTTGCCAGGAGGACTTTTTGGTGTTACCTATCATGTAGTGTCAGGTGCGAAGGTCTGGCTGTGGCCTTGAAGCAGGCGGGGCAGTAGGCAAGGGTCCTGAGGCAGTGGCTGTGGGTCTGGCACCTGCAGCTGTGGGCTGCCCATATATTTATGTTTATTTCCAGAGTGTGGTGCACTCCAGGAAGGGTGGGGAGCATGGTGCTGGCAGCCTCGGCCCAGTAGTGTGGGCATGGGTAGGGAGGCCGGGGGCCAGGCATCTCCAGTAAGAATCACTGAGGCCCAGACAGGAATCTGTCTTGAACGTGGCCAACGGCAGCCCTACCTGTAATAGAGCCCTGCTCCCAGACGGGACCTTCAGGGACCAGCCCAGTGGGGTGACCTCCCAGGCATGGGCAAGCCAGGCTGAACCCGGCCACAGCAGATGTGGGGGACAGTGATGTTAAGGAACCACACAGGATGGCTGGGTGCAGGCAGGGCACAGGAAGCAAGGGCAGGGGGCCCGGCCATCAGAAGGCAAAGCAGTGCTCCTTGGGGTGCCCCCACAGTCCAGGCTGGGGAGGCAGGCATACTGGATCGTGGGTGGGGGTCCGCACATCAGCACCAGCAGCTCCTCCTCCAGGGGTGGGAGGTGGTCCCGCATCATCTCATCATTTACAGAGCCCTGGCTGTAGTCCCAGGCTTCAGGGGCTCTGCCCACCATGTACCAGAGCTGGAAGCGCCCAGAATGTGTGTCCCTCAGTGCCTCCAGCTCAGGCCACCGCAGGACGTCCTTCTCGGTCTGTTTGGTGAAGAGCAGGTGGTGCATGGTCTGGTTGTCCGGGCCCTTCGTGATGGTGTGGATCCCCTGCAGCATCAGGGTGATGCCTGTTCCTCCCATGACCGTGCCCACAGACTTCACTGTCTTGATGATGGGGTTAGAGTTCTTGTCTGGGCATGTGGCAAACTTTCCTTTGCCCTGGTAGACCAGCAGCCCATTCAGGCCCTGGAACGCAATGGTGTCTCCATTCTTCATGTTTTCCAGGTACTGGGACATCTTCCCTCCAGTGGGAAACTTGGGGTGGGTGTCTTTGAAGCAAACTTTGGTGACCAGGTCCACAAAGCCCTTGTCGTCATCGCT